TTTTTTTTTTTTTTTTTTTTTTTTTTTTTTTTTTTTTTTTTTAATTTATTGCTCTTTTTTAAAAAATGATTCCTAACTTTTATTTTATTTTTTAAAGCTTAGTATAATTCAAGTTCGGAGAAAACTTTTATTTTAGTATATAGTCTTTTCATAGCTATATCCGCTTTCAATATCTAGGTAAATCTTACTTCTTTAATGTAATTATTACTTGTTCGTTTTGGCCCGCTATTTATTGTTGTTAGCCTCACGATTTTAAAACGTGAGTTTTTATATCATTACTAGTGTCTGACTCTAATACCATTTGTAACGGTCAAAGCTCACCCATAAATGTTTTTGACATGTAATGTATCATCGTAGACTGATGATAGATTTTCACACTCTTATAAGTAATGTTTTGTTATGTTGTTCGACATATGTGGGACCGAAAAAATGAAAAAGCAAAAGAAAAAGAAAAATAAAGACAAAAAAGAGAAAAAGTAAAGATTACAAAAGAATTCTCATAATGTCATCATGTTCGCTGAATTGAAGTTATTGAGAAATCCACTAAAAACATTTTACTATAAAATATACCCATAAAACTTAAGTGCATCAACCTTTTAATTTATAGTTTATAATAAACTATGATTTATAAATATTAAAGCTAAAAAGAAAATATTATAAGAATAAATGTTAATGAAAATTAAATTGCATTAAATAGGGGGAGTTGGGATTCTAATAAATTAACATTAAAAAAATGAATGAGCTTAGTTCGAATTAATTAGTTAAAAAAAAAAAGCAAAATAAATTAAAATTAAAGTTAAATCGAATATGAGGGGGGATATAATCCAGTGCGGTTAAGGCGTAAAGTAAAATCACCATGGAGACCTAATCATGTGGATGCAATTGAATTCAAAGAATAACCATGGGGACCACAAATCTCTGAAACGCATTTGATGAAATTTTGTTTGCTGAGACTTAATTTCCTTTTGTTCTTCTTCTCTCTGCGAGAAAATCAGACATGGTCCACGTGGGTAAAGATAAGATGACCAAAATAAATAAATAAATAAATAAATAAATAAATAAAAATAAACACCCCCTAATCATTTATTCCATTTTGAATTAGAATTTGTTTGGTTAAATTTGGTTAATTTAATTTTTAATTATTATTTTATTGACGTATATATTAAAATTTTAATTTACATTTTTTGAATTGATAGTGTAAGTGGAATGTCAAATGTGTCTCCGATTATGTTCAATAAACAGTAATTTAATGATAATGAGTTGTTAACAATTTTAATAATATTTTTAAGAGTTGGCCTAATTTAAATGTTTAATACATCGAGGTTTAAATTTCAAACACAATAATAGTGATACAATTTCAAATCCTAAGATATTATTACTATAATTAAAAAAAAGAAAAAATGAGGGGCAGTTTCGTCATTTGGTCTTCTTCAGTGGATGTAGTAAATAAAAACCTCCATTTAATATAGCGCCTGCAACTCTTCCTTCCGTTTCCATTTCTTTAGACACAGCGACGAACGATGAGACACAGCCATTACCCAACTTGACCCATTTTTTACCCTTTTCCACAGACAAGAAAGGAAAAGAAGATTCCGGCAAATCTCACACGACAGTACCACGGCGGCGGCGGCATTGCATTGAGCTTTGTTAATGGCGTGGGTCAAATCCCTTCAGTGCAAATCCAGAGTCTTCGAAGACGTTTATCATCCAAGCCCTAAGAATCTAATCCCGAGTGCCAGCTGTCGGAAGGGCGTTCAGAGCCTCAAAGACGTCGTTGAAACCACCAAATCGAAGAACAAGAAGCCCAAACCCTCGCCGCCCGACAGAAAACCTGTTCCTCGAATCTCCAAATCAGAACCCGGATCGAGTCCCTGCACCCGCTCCAGAACCAGCGTTTCCTCTCGTTCATTGATAAGGCCCAACGATCTCCTCTTTCCGGCGCTTTCGGAGTTGCCGGAGGGCCATCATTCACGGAGCGTCGTCGAGATAATCTTCCACACCAGGTGGACCCCCAAGGCGTTTACGGGTCAGGTCGAGATGATTTTCAAGGTCCAGAACGGGTCCAAGACGGTGGCCCGATTTGAAGAGTATCGCGAAATGGTCAAGGCCAAGGCGGCAATGGGATGTCCCGCCGACGAGGAGAATGCCCGTTCTGTCGCCGACGGGAACGAGGTCATGAGGTTTCACTGCATGGGTCCGACATCCGACTGTGCAAAATACGACGGTAGCGGCGCCGCCGCCGGGTGGAGTTTCCCCGGGGTGAGAGGGTCGTCATCGTCGGCGATTTGCACTTTCGCCGGAAGTGGGGTAGCCCACGAGAACGCCGGCGGCGGAAGAGGGAGAAGAGCGATGTTGGTTTGTCGGGTCATCGCCGGTCGGGTCTCAAAGCAAGCGAAGAAACCCGACCCGTTTCTGGAAGCCCGAGTTGGCGTGGACTCGGTGAGTAGGGAAAACGGCGAGTTGCTCGTATTCGACTCGCGTGCAGTCCTCCCTTGTTTCCTCATCATCTACAAATTGTAAAAAAAAAAAAAAAAAAAAACATTATTATAATTTTTTTTATATATTTTGGGATATTTTTTTGGCGACGAAATGAAAATCTTTTAAATTTTCACGTTTCACCATAATTAATTGTCTTTATTTTTCATGCGTGATACAATTATATTGAAAAATGCTAATTAACCAATATTATTTCCTTCATAATTAATTAATTTTCTGTCTTTATTCCTTAGAATTGGCTCAGAAATTCACGTGTTGTTTTGGCAGATAGGAAACAAAATGAATATGGAAAATAAAATATTATTAAATAAATGTAAAAAAGGAAAAAAAAAAAAAAAAAAAAAAAAAAAAAAAAAAAA